GTGTATAGGCACGCATCAAATCAACAAACTCGAAACACAACATGCAGGAACATACAATATTGCTATTTGTTATGGAGTAGGAAAAAGGTACAGTCGATTGAAATTATTTTGGAGTGAAACGACTCTTTCATTATTTGGTTTCGTGACACGCTTCATTTTACATATCAGATAAAATAATATGACGATGACACATATGAACATCGGAATGTCAACCGGCTCCGATTGAATCGGCAAAGTTTTTATCGTAATCGGAAACGGCAACTGGTGCCTATAGAACGGTACCGATTCCGATCAATCGGAAAATTAATCGGGTCCGTTTCCCATGATCGGGTTCCCTACCGATATTTGGACGCGTTCCCTAAGGCTGTGTAGATAGTTCCCTGGGTCGAGTGAAACAACGACATATTTTGAGGCATTGTTCTTAGCTGTGCTTCATTCTGTTGTAGCTTCTGTCTTAATTCCTCTTCAACTGCTATCATCCTGTTGTTCTCTTGGATAAACTGTTAACTCGCCAAAGGCTCATAAGGAATTAGAACATCTTCATCTCCAGCCTCTCCACTCGCTTACGTAGTTGATTACTGATTGACTTCCTCTTGGAAGTTTTGTTGGATATTTGGCACAAACCTGAGAATGACATTCCATTCTGAGTTGTCAGAATTGACACTTGACATGCTTTTTGTGTGAGTCATCTTATTTAGATAAGAAGATGGTGGTTCAACTGAGACTAAGACCCTGTTTACATGGAGTGGGGGACCCTGGTCTAGTGTGGTAGGTTTCTTTTGTTTTGTGTCCCCAGAGTGTGAAAACAAAAGAAACCAACCCCACTAGACCAGGGTCCCCCACTCCATGTAAACAGGCCCTAAGCAAAACAGCAGCAATGAGAATGACAAAAAAATGATAACTGGTTTGGATTAGGAAAACAATAGTTATGCATGTGCATTCAGCATTTTTGTACATTTCCTTGTTGTTGTGGCATAACCAGGATAAGAAACTTCCTAATTTCACCTTTTGTGGAGGACATAAACACAAGACTTGAAATGATTTTCTAATTCTTTTTTTTAAATCTAGCTATACATGTACAGTCCTTTAGAATATAACTCCAGAAAAATTCACCAGCATTTGACAAATTGAACGACTGAGGAAAAGAATGATGAGTATTGAAACAGAGTGGATTCACTTTTTAAGAGACCCAGTCCCACTTGATGTTGAATTCTGAGCAGCATGCTGGGCGTGAGGAGATCAATCCCTCAACTCTCGCCCTAGCCCAAAATGTCATGGCCCAAGAAATTAATTCTACATATTTAAAAAGTGAAAAAAACCTGAGATTTATCTAAAATCAAAATCAATCTGCAATCATTACAAGTTTGCTATTTTTATTCTATTCTTGAACATGCTTTTTTAGTCTTTATATTTGTTTCTTACAAGAATGGAACATCAAGATCCAAGCTTCAGATTCAGACTTAAAAGAGTTTCCTGTAAAAGATACTGTTTGCAGAACATTTTCTTTCTGTCAGCTCTTCCTGTTATCTGTACCCTGTTGACTTTCTATTTGCTTATTCTAGCTTTATAGAACTCTCATCAGAGCTTCAAGTGAACATCAATACAGATGATTTATATTTCAAGTTTGAC